CACACCCACACACCCACACCCACACCCACACCCCACACCCACACACACCCACACCCTCAACGTCAATGAAACTTTTCTACGAAAAAAAAAATCGCCTCGCATAAAAAAGTTGAGAAAAACAGAAAAATGTTCAATTTGATAATCATGAATGCGATTGTATGAAGTTAAAATAACATTAACATAGGAAAAGAACAGAACTAGATCAGCATTTTCACTTTGAAACATATCCTAACTTAGTTTAAAATTGATTAGAAGGTAGATTACTACGGTTATAGTTGGTCACAATCGTTCATCTTCGTAAGATTTCGAAGAATAAAACTTATAAAATTTTCTCTCGTTTAAAGAAAGAAAACAATCGCGAATATATCCATACAAAACATCGGACAATGTTTATTAAAACAAATTATATGTTGAGTTTGTTTAATCTATTCCAGTTAGTAGGAAAAAAAATCTCAATTCATCTGTTATTATATCATTTATAAGCAAAAAAAAATCTTTTCTTGTTTATTTCTTGAATCTATCTTTGTCATAAAATTTTTTGAAGCTAAATAGATTTGCTTAACTAATTCTATACATTAAAAAGACTGCTAGCAATTGATGATGTTGAATATGGTCGATCGATTGAAAATTTCTCAATTGGAGATATGACAAAATCACAGATTTGTTCGAAAAGTCTTTCGTCTTTAGTAATTGGTGATGTATGATATTCAATAGATGAAGATACTTTTGATTTTTCTTGTTGTTCACATATTGATACATATTTAACTTCACGATAAAATGCATCAACTTCCATCTGATTAATATTCGTTCGTATATCTTGCTCAATCATTTTGAGACTAATTGGTTTAACTGATGATTGAAGAAGATTAACATTAATCTCGATATTTGGTTTTCGACCACTTAATAAATTAGTTGTTTGAGAAGATTTGAAAACTGAATGAATTATTTCAAGAAATTCCGGTGAATCCGAATCATATGTTAATACAGAACGAATTTCATATAAATTATCTGCATTTAAATTTGGTTGACGTACATAACATTTTGTCCATATATGATAGATACGTACTGTTCGAAGAGTTTTAGATGAATTAAATAATAGTGTAATATAGTATGATGGATATGAGGGTACATAACAATCAAACTCATAATCCATTGTACTTTTACTTGTCGTTGAAAATAATGCCTAAATAATTAATTCATCGAGAAACAAAAAAGATAAAAATATTTCATTTAAATTTACTTTAGTTTTGCTGAAGTTATCGATATCAGTATAATTAAAATGGATTAATTGATCCTGTTTTTGTCTAATAAGATCTTGTAATTCACCGAGTTTTTGAGGAAATATTTTTTGTTCAATAAAATGTATATGACCATAGAAAATTATTAAATAAAGTGATCCATGTGTTGTTGGATTATAAGCAGATGACTTTTTTTTAAAAACATTCTGTTTTTCCAAATATGATGTTAATTTTTTTATAATTTGTTCTCTATCTGAATCGTCTGTTGTTACTTTACTTAAATCTACTGTATATAAAGATCCAGGAATTGGAGAGAATATGATATTACTGGTTGTTGCAGTTTTCGTGTGAACAGCCATAAGAAAATCTGGTTGATATGGATCACTATTTGATGATATCAAAGATGATAATGATGAAGTTGTTGATGAGATAGAAGATGCTGAAGCACTGGAATTTATTAATATAGGAGGATTTTGTAAACTAAAAGATGAAAAACAAAAAAGAATATTTAAAAGAACAGATGAAGAGATATTTACGAATTTTTTAATTTGGAATTTGTTGTTGTTTCTGTTGTTATGGATGTTTCTGACAGAGTAGATGTTATATCAGTTGATTTATTAACAGATTTTTTATTGGTTGATGGAGAATTTTCATTTGTTGCTGTAGGAAGTTTGGAAGATAATTTTTCTTTTTTTCTGAAATTATTTATAAATTATAAAAATAAGAACTTTAAAATCATACGGTGGTGTTGATGACGGAACAATTGGTTGTTCATTATTTTCAGGTTTAGTAGATAATTTTCTTTGGCATTTCTTTGAAGTTGACTTTGCTTCATAAATACCTCCATCAAGCCATTTTTTAAATTCTTCATTTTCGACCTCAATCATCGATGGACTTTTAATTGCTTTCATTCTTTGTGGACATTTATTGATCATTGGTGTATCTCGAACTTCAAAATATTTCGCTGCAGCATTGAGAAAAAGTCTTTCTAATATACTCGATGATTCGTATGTTGGTTGATCAAATTTTTTCATAAAATTTGGCCAATTTGTACAATATTTTGCTTGAAATGGTCTGATTTCTTCCTTATCAATAAACTTGCCAGTTTTTGGTGAATCAACAGCAATTGCAAATAATTCAGCTAATTTTTTACAATCATTAGAGAATGAATGTTGTTCATGTTTATCAGCTGCAACAGTATGAGTATTTGCAATCATACCTAAAATTCCACCAGCTCCAAATGTTTCAACAATATGTTCGATAATTATTTTTTGAGTAATTAATGGTACTTCTAATTTTTTCGCTCCTTCATATGATAAAGGTTCTGCGTGTTCTTGAATTTTTAAACGATTTCCCCAATAAACCCAATATTGATCACCATCCAAATCAGAACCAGATATTTCATTTGAATGCGGACGTTTACCATCAATAGGAAATACAATCACATCACGCATACATTCTTCTAATTTACTATTACGAACAGCAGTTAAGCGACGAAAATCACCTGGCCATAAACATGGATTTTTTGTAACAAGTACAGTACCTAGAAAATGATCAAGAATAAATGGGATAATATTAATAAAAAAAACAACATACCAGTAACAACATGAAGTTTTCGTTGACCATCATCTTTTGAATCTAATGAAGTATATTGTATAAAACATTGATCATACTTAAGTTCTCCTGTTTCATCAGCTACACCAAATAAATTTCGACCATCTTTTGGGGGAATAGGTATACGATTTGAGAGTAAATTGTCTTTTCTAAAAATAATGTTTTTTTTTTGAAATTTTTGGATTTATCGATATTAATTACTTACGATGTTGAGTAAGAAAGTTTTTTTTGTAATGCAATATCAAGAATACTTGGTTGTTCTTCTTCAAGAACTCCCCAATGATCAAATCCTTCGTTTTGAAGAGAAATAAATGTACTATCTGGATTTTGTAAATCACTTAAAAGACGAATAACTTGATCATTTAATGTTAATGTCACTAAATAATTTAATATATTATTTAAAAAAAAATGAAACGATAAATATCAATATCTTACATGGTCGAGCAAATTCACATATTTCTAAATTCCAATCATCACTTAGAAATTTTTCCATCGATGGACGTATGTGAATATAATAATCATTTAATGTCGACTCAGGATCAATAGCTACCATACCTTTGCAACCAGCTACACGCACTTGATATGCCGATGGAATGTCTTCCTAAAATAAAATAAATCTATATATATAATGTTCAGTGTCTGTCTGTGCCAGGCCAAAGATTAAAGGTCAAATAAGGCTATAAGCAGAAGGCCCAAGGGCTACTATATTAGGACACCCATAGGCCCTGAAAACCTATTATGTGGAGGTAGCCATAGGTCCTCAAAAGCTATCCTATGGAGATAGCTATAGGTCCTCAAGAGCTACTATATGGGGCACGCATAGGTCTTTAAGGACTATTATATGTGGATACCCATAGATTCTCAAGGGCTATTATATGGGAGTATTCATAGATCCTCAAGGGCTATTATATGGAGATACGCATAGGTCCTCAAGGGAGTAAGGCAGTAAGGTGGTAGGTAATAAGGGTAAAGCAATAAGGAGATTAGGCTACAAGAGATATAGGGCTATAAGGCCGAAGGCTACCTGGACTATAGAAATATGTGCGATATAAGAGTATCAGGCTGTAGGGCTATCTATCTATATACATAATATCCGGTGTCTGTATGTCTGTCATCTGATGAAAAGTTAAACATCTAAGGTCATACATTAAAGAAGGAAACACCCGTACAGTATGCACGGGTTCTTGCTAGTATATAAATATTGAATCTCTTTAACAAACCTTGCTGGATAATGAAATATTCATTTTTTGAGCTATACGTCCTGCTAAACCCCATGAAATTTTACCAATACCATCAGTAAAACAATAATCATTTCTTTTAATATCGTCAATTCGAAAAACATAATTTCGTCCAGTATTTGAACGGATATCACTCTTGTTTGTTATTAGAGTCAATTGAATCTACAAAATGATATTATTAATAATTTTCTTTCAATAGAAAATGAATATTTACATCAATAGGCCATGTTGTAGAGAAATATTGACCAACACGAGCAATATAAGTAGCAATATTTTTTATATCACTAAGATTATTTCCAAGAACATTATGCGCTTCTTTAATGTCTTTAAAACGTGTAGGTAAATTAATGAACCAAAAAGCCATTTGTTTCATTTGACCTGTACTTGCTCCCATATATACAAATGTTTTGCCAAGTAAATTAATACCATCTAACATTGAATTTTTTAATCTTTCTTTAATATTTCTATGAGAAACGCGTAATTGTTCATTATTTTCCTCACGTAAATGTACAAGAAGAAAATTTTCAGGACCACCAAATCTATATAAAAACTAACAATTTTAATATTCATAGAAAAAACAATGATCAAATAAACTTACTGCGGATTTCTTAAAGCTCGACTTCCAGTTGTAATTTCAAATGGTTGAAATATAAATCTCAATGGTGTTAATGTACAAGCAGCAACTTTCAATTTTTTTCTATCCTCAATTGATACTAACTGTTCATTCATATCATTATTTGTTATAAATTTTTTTTTTGCTTCATTATAATCTCTTTCAGTTCGTGTTAAATCATAACCATGATCTTGACACAATTGTTCTACTGCATAACAACATAATGAATAGCGTTCATTAACATTCCATCTTTTCCAATTTAATTCTTGATCAGTTAATTGTGCCCATTTATCTCGAAATACAAATCCAAGTGAAATAAGCATTTGTAAAGCATAACGATCTTGAAATGATGCTTTTTTATAATCAAATGGATCTGGTGTTTGATTTTTATTTTCTTTTAACCAATCACATATTTTAAAAGTAGAAAAATTAATTTCATATCGTTCAGGTCGATCAATTAAAAGATGTTCAAGAAATGACCATGGCATATTTGGTGATGCTTCAAAATGTAAAACTAAATCAGAACACTGTGCAAGATTTTGAATAAATTTGATACGTTGTTCATCACCACACATTCTATAAATATTTTTAAAAATATTATTAAAAGAATAAAATTCTATTAAATAATTCTACCGAATTTGTTTCTTGTCTTGATTTTTATCTCCAGGCTTGGGTGATTCCAATCGATAAATATGTGGTGCATATTTAAGTGGAAGTAAAATATCAACTCCATACTTAGCATTTTCTTTATTAACTAAAATATTCTTTTTTTGAATTGAATGTAAGGAAATAATTATTTGTATATCATTAAATTCAATACATAAATTATTTGGTTTTCGTTTTATAAATCTGATCGATATTTGAACTTCTTTATTATTGAATGAAATATGTGAATAAAATTGATTATATGATCGAAGAGAACCAAATCTACAAATAACAGGAAATGTTGATCCTTGATGAAAATTATCATCAGTAGTTGCTAATGAACGTGGAATAAGATTATGAAGAGGTTCTGAACAAATATTAAACCAAACTAATGAATTTTCATCTGATAATACTAAAGCAAGTCTATCACGAAGACTATTAGCTTCTTCACGAGTAAGATAAAAAAAAATTGTATCATTTCCACTTTCACCAGAACGTTTTATACCATTTCTATCAAATGTTTTTGCTTTGACAAAACTAATATAAATAAAATAATGAAATATAGAGACTATGAAATTATAGTAACATACGTATCTATATTTTCAGCAAGTTGTTCACCGACTTGTTTCGATGATATATGTTTAAATTGACAGCGTACTTGTGCAGTCATATCTGAAGAAAACAAAAAAAAAAGATGTCTTTTTAAAATGAAAATTTTAACTTTTCATTTACTAAGTTAATTTGATAGAAATTTTCAATATTCTCACTTAAAATTGTTTTAAACTAGACGTTTTCTTTTTGATAAAAAATGCAATTTAAGATGAGGAAAAAGACATGTTTTTATATGCTGCATCTTATATTTTTTCTGTGAAGAATAAGTAAAAAATACCATTGACGCATTTTCATTCAATGCACACAAAACTCGACTTTTTCTTTTCTCTGTCTACCGACATTATGTCAGTATTTTATTACATAAGTATTGTGAAATTCTTGTTGTTGTGTTTACTGCACATTATATAGAATGAAAAAACAACAAATTCTATACTTATGTCTCATAAGGACATTCTTAGTTTATCAATGTATTTGCGGCAAAAAATTTTACGTGAACAAGTTAACATCTAGGAAGAAAAAGTAAGTGGGAGAAATATAAGAAATAATGTGAAATATATTTAATTGTCAAATGTGATTATTGAAATTATGTAACTGGGAAAAAACCCAATGTGGGAGTTTTGTCTTTGATATAGATTTTATGAAAAAACAACTCATTATTTTTATATTTCTTATCCATGTCTTCGAAATCGCTAAAAATTTGACGATTATTGGCGATGTATTGAAACGATAATCGTGAGCTGGATCGTGATAAATCGCCAACTTTTTTTTCGATAATTCTGCTGACAATTTTTGTGATCATTGTGATTTTATAATCGATTATTATCGCTTATTATGTCGATAAGGATGGGTGCGGGTGCGTAAGTGTGCATGTGATTAAAGAGATCCCCCCCCCCCCCCCGCAACCGCTTTTGGTAGCTGCATTCACAACCACTCATCCACAAGATAGTAAAGTGATCATTGATACACATACAAACTCACCCATATTTCTTTTATTATCCTAACTAGAGTAAGGTATACTTATTTTTTATTTTATTGTTATTTAGTTTTCGACTTAGTTAATTGCTGAAAAGCAAGAAGTGAAAATAGCAGATTGAATTTGTCTTCAGCGTCAAGAGATAGGTCAATCTGTTTTTCAATTGATTAAAGTATAAAAATCTATATATT